ACAGTGACCCCACGAAGGAGCACTGCCGTGATCCCCATTTTACAGATGAGGACACAGAGGCACAGAGAGGAGTAAGTTGCCTAAAGCCACAGCCAAACATAGGCGAGAGAACAAATGGGTCACTCTGACAAACTGATGGCCAAGCCTGGGACTTGGGGCTTGGTGGGCAGGGAGCAGACCTGAGTGTGGGCAACCAGGAGAAGTGGTGGACACTCTCGGCTGCAGGGAGAGCATGCCCTTCTTGTCTTGGTGCTCCCTGAGTTCTGGTCAACACCTTAGACCCCCAAGCCAGCCTCCTCCATTGTGCAAGGTGCTTAGGGAGCAAGAGACGAGCCTGGAGAGAGAGGGAGACAGGACCTCGGGGCACAGCTGAGCAAGCTGAACACTGCGTAATTCCAGGGCACCCCATTCACATAGACTATGATGAGAACAGAGCAAGGAACTGTTACGCAAGCACCTTGCATTTTGCCTTGGAATTCTGCAAGACAGTAGCTCTGTAGACAGGACCATACCATATAGGACCTTGAAGACCAGGGGTCTGTAAACCTTGTCTGTAAAAGGCCAGATAGTAAATATTTTAGGATGTGTGGGCCATGCAGTCTCTCTGTTGTAACTACTCAAATCTGCTGTTGCAGGGTGAAAGCAGTCACAGGCGATATGTAAATGAATGAGTGTGGATGTTTGCCAATAAAACTTTATTTACAGAAATAGGCCGCCTGCCAGATTTGGCCCACGGGCCATATTTGCCAATCCCAGTGAAAGTCATGGAAGGGTTTTGAACTTCATTCTAAGAGCAGTGTGGAGCCATGAGAGGGCTTTAAGCAGGCAGTGAGGGGATTTTACACTTGAAATCGCCCTGAAAGATCTAACCGGGGCAGCAATATTTCTTCTGTCCTACTCACTGATCCTTGAGTCCCTCTGTCTGCATAAAGACCTGCGTGGGACCTGAGGCCTCTGATGCGTAGATGGTCTTGGAGGCAGAGGTCACCCCTGTCCATTTCCCCGTTACCCTCCTCCTCCCCGTGCCCACGCTCAGCACAGGTCTGGACACTGAGCAGGGCTCCAGAAACGCTGGTTCCCATTGCTGGCCGCAGGGCAGAGTAGAACAGCCCACTGACCAACAGCCTGGGCTCTGAAATCAGAGACGTCTGGTGCCAAATCCCTGCTCCTCTATGTGGCCCTGTGTGACTGTGAGCTACACCTTCCTGACCCTCTGTCTCCTCTTCTGTATAAGAAGAATAATAACAGATGTGAACCTGTGAACGAAAGTGGTTCTGAATTGACCTGGATACAAATGAAAGGCACGGAAGGAAGGTATTGATATAAGAGTCATGTTTCTTGCTGAACCCCAGAGGCAGGAAGCCTGGTTGTGCACTGGGTAGTGGGGCTTTGCTCCAGTGAGCTGGGTGCAGAGCCAGGCACTGGACTCCTAGCTACAGTGGAAGTAGCTCTGCTGAGGCAGCCTTGGCTCATGAATATTAAGGGCTTCTTAAAGATGGGGATGATTTGTCCCACCTCTTGGGCTGAAAATAACTGCCCAACATTGGGGTAATTATACATCTTGCACTCCTGCACAGCCCAGAGAGCACCACAATAATTACTGAGCACGAACACTGCTTTTGGCAGCCGATGCTTGTTTTCTGCCTTATGGAGTGTCTCCTGGACAGAAAGCTTGTTCTACCTCCCACCCCATGAGACTTGAACCCTTGCCTCATATGAGGAGAACCTTCCAGGAAACCCACCTTGGATATAGTGGCCACTTCTACTCTCCCCAAGGCCATCTGTCAGGCTCAGGGGACTGGCCCTTGGTCAGCTAGACCTTGGTGATCAGTGGCTTTGCATAATCTCTTTACTTGGCCCTGAGGCTAACACCAGCCACCAGGTCACCTGCAACTCTGTAGGAGACACCTGTGAGCAGAGCTGCATAGTACAAACATGGGTCTTCTGGAGTCAGCATTGGAAGGTGAGCTTTGCTCAGAGATGGAGAGGCTGTGTCCTTGGACTGAACTAGGACACTGACAATTAGATTAAGGTCCTGGAGAAGTTCTTGAGGATTTACTCTGTGCCAAGCCTTAAGGATAGAGCCCTAAGTACCATGGCATAGTCCTGCCCTCTTGGGACTTAGCATCCATTGGGCAGACAGACCCAAAGCCCATAACTGCCCAAATTGTTATATAATTATAGTTGTGATAAGGCTATAAGTGAGATGTATAGGAGCTATAGGTATGCATAACAGGGGGAGTCTGGAGAGTTTGAGCTGAGACCTAAAGGATGAAGAGTGAGGCAGCTCTGTGTGTGTGTGTGTGTGTGTGTGTGTGTGTGTGTGTGTGCATATCTGTTAGAGATGGATGCATGGATGGTAGATGATGGTGGATGGATGGATGGGTGGATGGATGCATGGATGGTAGATGATGGTGGATGGATGGATGGGTGGATGGATGGATGCATGGATGGATGCATGAACAGATGGCTGCATGGTGGCATATGGATAGATGGATAGATGATTGGATCTTCCAGGCAGTGGGAATAGGCTATGCAGAAGCTCATTGGCCAGAGGAAGTGTGGTGACTCTGTAGCTGACAAAAGACTATTTTAGAAAGTGTTTGTGGTTTAAGAAATGAGACTAGAGAGGTAGGCAGGGAGGATCACTGGGTACAGCTGAGTAAGCTGTGCACTACACAGCTCCAGGAGCTTCCAGGCTCATAAACCACGATGTGAGTGGTTCCCCCTAGAATTGTGCAAGATGGCGGCCTGCAGGCAGGGAATCACATCATGCGAGACCTTGTAGACCATATTCCCCGAGCAATGGGGAGCCATGGAAAGGTTTAGCAATTTTCAGTGGAGCTCATTTCCATTTATAATGCCTGAAAGCACACTGTCCAATAGAACTTTCTGTGAAGGTAGAAATGTTCTATTTCTGCCCTTTCCAATATGGTTCAATTTCTCCCCTTTCCACATGTGGCTACCGGGCACTTGAAATCGAACAGAGAGTGACTGAGAAACTGAATTCTGAGTGTTTATTAATTTAAATTCAAATAACCACAAGAGCCAGATGTAGCCAGTGGCTCCCTATTGGACAGTGTGGCTGCAAAGGATCTGGCCCTTGCTGGACAGGGTCCTGTCACACTTCTCCCCTGCCAGCAGTGCATCTGGGCAGGTGTGCTGGAGACATCACACCTTGCTGGGCGGAGGCCTCAACCTCCCCTTCACACAGGGCCTCTGTTTACGCTGGGGCCCAGGGTGCAGCGGGGCTGTGGTCCAGGCGCTGGGCCTCGTGAGGCAGGAGCCGCCCCAGCCCCTGCTCCTGAGGCCTCACGGACCCCCCACCTCTTGCCCACCAGCGTCTTCTCTCGCCGCCCCACCCCCTGGGGTTGCAGACTGGGTCCTGTGTGCTGCAGAGGGATGGCCTTCTCCCCGCCCTCCCAGCTCACTCCCAGTTTGCTCCTCCACGGCAGAGGCAAACGCATAAGGAAACCACCTCAGCCCTGCCCAGCTGCATGAACCATAGTGTGGAGATAGTATCCTCGGTGGGCAATGGGGGATGTGACTTTGGCTCGTGTTTCAGAGGGAGCCAGACTTGGAGGGGGTGGGAGGAGGCTCGGAGGGGCCAGGGCCAGCCTGCGTCTCCCCTTTGCAGGGCCCAGGCACCCGCCAGCCCTGGCTTCATCAGTACCGTGACACGAGGGCCCCACACACAAGCCAGCTCGTGTATGCAAGTCTGTCCTCTCACCCCACAAACAGCCACCCCTTGTTTACCCCTCTGGCCCAGAGGGACACTTGCCCATTAACCACACAGGCCAACCTTGGGAAGCTGGATCCAGGGACAGCTGTTTAGGCCCTGTGGACAGTCTCAGAGCTATGTGGACAGGGGTGGTAGAGTGTGTCCCAAAAGGGGAACGTGGGCTCCAGTGGACACACGCCATCGACCCCATGGACTCCTCAGTCCAGGGGGAGGCATAGCCAGAGGTTGGCCAGAGATCAAGGGTCCCAGTTGCCAAAGGGCCTGCAGGGCTGACGGGCTAGCTCCCCAGATCCTCCCTTTGCACTTGGGTTCAGGGGAGAACTGGGGCCTGAGGGGTGGAGGGGAGAGAAGGAAGGAAGGTCACAATGATGAGGGGAGGGGGTCGTCCTGAGTGAGAAGGATTCCAGGCTGTCACTGGAGTTCACTCCAGTCTCCCTCATCCCCATGGCCCCACCCACCCACCATCCCTGAACACACATGCACACACACCCATGCACACCTATACACACCCATACACACGTGTATACACACACACGACTAGACAAAACTCTATGAATCATGGATAGTAAAAGCCTCTGCCACCCCCACTCCCCAAGGCTCAGTAAAGCCAAAGAAGGGGCATTTGACACTCACAGGTGAGCTATCACCTGGCATAGGAATCTGCAGTGTTAATAAAATAATTACAGTGGCCCGAGCAAGAGTTCACCTTCAAACCACACCAGCCGCTGACACGGCTCCCCTCAATTATTGCTATAACGCCCCTGTAAGGTTGGATTAACATCATCCCCATTTTATAGATGAAAAAACTGAGGCACAAAGAAGCAAGTATGTTGACTGAGGCTGCACAGCCAGTAAGAATGGTGCCCAAATTTGAAGCTAGGCCACCGGGCCCCAGAGTGTGCGCTTTCAATGACTGGAATGTGTTCCCTTTGGACAACAAATGTCAATTGCTCAGCTCAGGGCCCGGCATACAAGGATGTGCTCAATAATTGTTAGCTCTTGTTATTGCTGTCCATCATAAGATAGGCAGTGCCATCCTCCTCTTGGAAATGATGGACCAAAGACCTACATTGTGTGCCTCAGTTTCCTGATCTGTAAAATGGGGAAGGTGTTACTACTTCCCACTCAGGCCTGCTGTCGGGCGCAAACAAGACCATTTGTGTCAGGACCTGGGGGACAGTGGGTCTTACCTGGGCCCCTGCGTGCCTGTACACCCCGTGTGTGACAGCAAGCTCACTCCTGTACCCTCCTGTTGCAGTACGCTACTTCCTGAAGAACAAGGTCAGCCCTGATTTGTGCAACGAGGATGGACTCACAGCCCTGCACCAGGTAAGGCTGGGTTCATGGGTTCCTGGGCTCCCTGTGCCTCACCTGGACAGGTGCCCATTTGCCTGCACTTTCCGGCCCAGAGCCCTCAGGGAAGGGGGCAGGGAGCCCTAGCTGGCCCATCTGAAAGGCTCTTGTCTGCTTCAGAGACGCGTGTGTCTGTTACAAACACGCCCGCAGAGCCCTGGCGCGCGCACACACACGCGTGTGCACGCGTGGGCTCTCAGGACAAGGAGCCTTTGTTCACTGCATACTTACTGCCCGGGAAAGCAAGTTTGTCTGGAGCTTGATGGTTTACGAAACACGTTCACACCCACCAGGACATCTCATCCACGCTGGTGACAAAGGCCATTGACAGGAGTTATGTGACCTGCCTAAGTAAGGTCACATGGCCTTGAACTAGGGCTGTGAGCCATGTGCCGTCACAGCACAGATCCTCTCCATGGCAGAGTGATGGGCCCAGCCCTCCCTGCCTGGGGACAGGCTGACCTGGCTGTCACCTCTCACGTGAATGCTGCCACAGCCTCCTAACTGGTCCCCAGCACTCAGTCTGGCCCTGCTGTCATTCCTCCTCCACGCAGCAGCCACAGGGATGCTGGAGCCAAAAATCTACTCATGTTATGTGCAGCTCCCGGGTGTCTTCCCATAATGCTGTGGGTGAAGAACAAACTCTGTGCCGCACCACACAGGGCCCTATGGGGCGTGGCCCCTGGCCAGTCCTCTGTGCTTCCTGGCTCTCCAGGCTGCAGCCGCCGGCTTTTCAGGTCCTTGTCCTCCCCACCGCACTTCCTACGGCGCTCAGTGCATTCACCTGTTAGCTCCAATCCACAGCAGGAGCCCGAGAGCTGCCCCGTGATAGACACATCCTTCGTTTGCTGAATGCCCTCTTCCTTGTAATTACTCATTTCAGCCATTAACGTGGTCACTGGATGTTGGCCTCTCCCCCTGCTCAGACTGAGCTGCACCAGGACACAGCCCATGTCTCTTGCTCATTAGTGTGTCCCAGCATCTTTCCCCATGCTGGCATACAGTACGAGCTCAATAAGTGCATGCTGAATTAGTGAATGAACACACCGAAGCCTCCCTGTGCCCTGGCCCAAGTTTCTGAGCATATGGACTTGAGTGCAGCCTGAGAGGCCAGGCAGCTGGAACCCTGGGCTGAGGAGGGCCTCTCCCCCTCCACACGGGAGTCAGGGAGGGGTGAATAGAAACTGGCCATGTCCTTCCCATAAGCCCCCAGGGCAGGCCCCCGCCCCAGCCAGACAGCCCACTGGCTCCATGTGTCCTATCAGCTTCTAATGTCCCCTGGGGCCTGGGGCACCCACTCCGAGCTGCCTCAGTACCCCCACTGAATCCTGCCCATGGAAACTCCCCAAACCCCAGCTCTGTTAACTCCAAGGTGCCTGAGACTCTGCCAGAGAGTGAGAGCAGCTGGGTGCTATAGCTTACCCTGGAATGGAGACCCAAATGGCAATCCCCAGCCTGGTAGCACCCGTCACCCCGGGGCACAAGGATAAAATGGATGGGCTACCTCCTGCTGTGTGCCAGAAAAGTGAGGCAGTCAGGGTAGAGAGTCAGACTCGAGCCCTGGAGCTGCCACTTGCTAGCTGTGTGACCGTGGACAAGTTACTGAAGCTGTCCGTGCCTCGGTTTCCTCATCTCTAAAAGAGGAATAACAAGTACCCATCTCATGGGGTTGTTGTGAGGATTAAATGAACACACATAAAGACCCTTCAAGCAACTCTTGATAGTGGATAAATATTACTTATTATTATTATTAAAATTCATCAGGCGACCACTTCTCTGTAAAGCACTTCACGTATATATTTCATTCTTATCCTCACAACAACCCTCTGAAATATTATTGTCCCCATTTTATGACTCAGGAAACTGAGGCTCCAGGACGGCCCTATTCCATCGAGTTTTCTATGACGATGGAAGTGCGCTACGCATCCGCACTCTCCAGTACGGGAGCCACCAGGCACATGCAGCTGCAGAGCGCTGGAAATGGGGCTGCTGTGACTGAGGAAGTGGATTTTGAATTTCGTTTAACTGTAGCGAATTTAAATAAAGAGCGGCTGCTGTAGTGTACAGTGCAGCTCAGGGAGGTGAAGTCTGTCCAAGGTCAAACAGTGGACGAGTGGCGGAGCCAGGATTTGAAACAAGGGGTCTAAACTGCTCCGTGGACCCTGCAGCTGGCAGTGCTCGTGCTCTGAGCCCCAGGTCCTCGAGGTGCTGTCCCTGCTGCGGTAAACTCTCTAGTGACACCCCCTCTTTTGCTTGGGGTTCCTGCCATGTAATTCTTCCACCTCTTCCTTGTTGGTCGCACTGCTTCCTCAGGACCAGTTCCTCTTGTGGGTTCCTGGGTCTGGGGGTGCACGGTCAGGGAGGTGGGAACTTGCTGCCTGAGACTCCACCACCCCACTCACCCTGGGTACCACTTTGAGAGCCCTCTCAGTGGTCTCCGGGAGGCATCCGCCCCCACTTGCCTGGGGGCTCCCATTCATTTGTTCAGCAAATACTTATTGTGCACAAACTCCATGCGAGGTACTCAGCTGAGGATAGGGCCCCAGAAATGAGTTAGGCAGGGGCTCTGCTCTCAGACTTCAGAGTGTGACGCAGCCACAGGCACACAGATAACAACAGAGGGCCGCAATGTGGTTAGCTCTTGCACGGAGATTAGCAGAGGGCTCAGTGGTAGCTCAAAGCTGGGAGCTGATGACCTGACTCAAAGGGGAACTGAGACAGCCTTCTAAGAGGAAGGGATATCTGAGTTGGGTCTTGAAGGATGAGTAGGAGCTTGCTAGATAGAAAAGCATAAGGAAGAACATTCAAAGCAGAGGGAACAGCATGCACAGAGCCATGAGAAAGGGGCTCCACATTTCAAGTATGGGGTCTGGAGGGTTCGGTGTGGCACAGTTAGGGTGCAGGGGACCCCACAGAGACTGGCAAGAGACAAGACCGGGAAGGTTGAGAAAGGCCTTTGGAGTCAGACTGCTTGGATTTTAATCCATGTCTGTAGATGGGTTTTAATCTGGGATTTTAATCCATCCCTTACTACGTGTGACCTTGTACAACTGGGCCTCTTTGAGCCAGTGTCCCCATCTATAAAATGGGGATGATAGGACCCTCAATAGGCTCGTTTTGAGGATTAATAGGAGGCAATTCACGAAGAAAGTTTAGCAAGGTGCTTGACTCCAGTAAGTCTTCAAAGAGCGTTAGCTGTTATCATTGATGACGTGGCATGACATGTTGTTATTCCCGTTGTTGCTGGGGCTGTTGTTATTGCTATTGTTATTGTCACTGTTGCTCCAATGACACACAGGAGATTGGGGCGCATTAAGAAGAGCTTCCCATGCCTGGCAAAGTGTGGATTTTCTTCTCTTGGCAACAGGGAGCCCTCAGGGGTTTGTGAGCTGAGAGCAACATGATTAAATCAAGGAAGCAGCTCTCTCTGGTTTAGGCGTTTGGAAGGGGAGCGGCAGGGAGGCAGGGAGAGACGACGAAACCTCACCTAGGGCAGTGGGGATGGGGACAGCGATCGAGGAGATGGGATTCATACCCGGTGATGGATTGGATGTGGGAAGTGAGGAGGCGGGTGGAGTCAGCCTGCTGCCAGGTGCCATTTCCCACCTTGGCGAATGCTGGGAGGGAGGCCTGCCCACCCCACCACATACCACCCTCTCCCTGTGCACCGCTGCGCTCAGCCCCATGCGGCCCTTGCCCAGCCAGGTCTCCCAGGTGCGGACTGGTTCAGCCCCTGGACATCTTCCTGACAAAACTCTGCAATTCTGGGCACACGATTCCCTCCCCCTTCAACCTGAGGCTTCCACCCCACCCCCGTGTTTTCTGCAGTCTCTCAGGGTTAGATCTCTGGCTCTCTTGTCCCCACCCCAGGGGCTCCCCAGACACATCTCCCAGTGACAGCCCGGGGCCCCTTGCCTTCCACTGCTGCCTGGCTCCGGCGCCTTTGGCGCCCTCTGCCGGCCGCGTCATGCAGCCGCATGGTCCTTCCGCCCACCTGAGGCAGCGCCGGACCCGCAAGGTCACACTTTTCCTCGCCTTTCCTGTCCAGAGGGATGCCCTCAGTCCCAGCCACCCCCAGACCCGCTGGCGCAGAAAGAACCTGGGGCCCCGGAACCATCTGTGCAAACGGCTGCTCTTTTCCCGCATGTCCTGGCGCTGAGCCCTGGCCCCGCTGGGGATGGGGGCGGGACTGTGCTACCGCCCCATCCCGCACCCGCGCCCACTCCCACCTGGGGCTGGGGCTCACGCAGGTGCCCCTGCTCCTTCTGCTGGCATCTGGCCACTTCTCCCCATCCACGTGGTCACTTCTGGAGGCCAGGAACACAGGAACACAGCTCCTAGACTCCCCTTCCCAACACGCACTCATGCAGACACACGCAGTCTGTTCTCCACATGCAAAGCAAGCCTGACGGTGCTCCCCTTCCGAGTGCAACTCCAGTTGCTGAGGACCACGCCCTTACCTGCATGAGCAGGGCTGAGCACGAGTTCTCCTGCTGTCCCCTGCTGGCTTCTCCAGAAGTCACCTCCAGGGAGGAGTCTCCATCCTGCGAGTCTCTAAGGTGGCTCTGAGCTGCCTTCTTCCTTTGTTCTCACCTCTCCCTCCTCGTGGCCTAAGCTGAAGCCCCTCCATCCCCTTGGGATTTTTACTCCTTGTCTCTGGAGTTTGGGGGCTGCAGTGGCTGCTGGAGCTCCATGTTCCCTCTAGGGGGATGACCCACATGTGGTCCCTGCTCTGTACGGGTAGGGCACACAGATGTGGCTGTCTCCTTGCTGAGACTGTATCGGGACCCCCCAGGACCCTCACATGGAGCTGGATTCTTTCGGAGGAGTCTTGGTTACTTGAGGGCTCCCCTAAGATCTGAGCTCCTGGGTCAGAGGCTCCTAAGTCAGAGGTTTCAAGCTATGATCTAGGGTCACACCTTGGGGGCCGCTGCCCAACACACACACCTGCCTCAACCCAAGCAATCTGCTTGAATTTATTGGTCATCTAAGTTAGAGTGCTCCATGCAATTTTGTTTGGAGAAAGCCTTCTGGGATTAAAAAAAAAGATTTTAAAACCTCATTCAAAATTTTGTCCCATTCCGCTAACACTCACAAAGCATTTTATAGTCAACAGAGTGGTTTTTATCTTTATCTTTTTATCTTATAAATTATTAACTTCATTTTTACTCACAAAGAAACTGAGGCTCAGAGAAGTTAAGTGGCTTGCCCAAGGTCGAGGGCAAAATTACAGCATGTAAGCGTTGGAGCTGGATTCAAACTCAGGCAGTCCAACTCCACTGTCCTTCTCGTGGCCCCTTTCGGGAACATGACGTGTCCCCACCAGGGCCCAGGGCCTTGCCTGGAGCTGACTCTGCCTGTGTGTCCCTCCCAGTGCTGCATTGACAACTTTGAGGAAATTGTCAAGCTGCTCCTATCCCACGGTGCGAACGTGAACGCCAAGGACAACGAGCTGTGGACGCCTCTGCATGCTGCGGCCACCTGCGGCCACATCAACCTGGTGAAGATCCTCGTTCAGTAGTACGTGCCCCTCCATACCCCCAAACAGCCTCCCCTCCACCTCTTGTGTTTATCCAACTAATTTCCTCCCTCCCTCCTCCTGCCTGCCCGCCTTCCCGCCTTCCTTTCTTCCTCCTTCCTTCCGCTTTCCTTCCTCTTCTCTCTTTCTTTTTCTCTCTCTGCCTCTCCTTTCCCATCTGTCTTGGGAATTGTCACTCACTCTCTCCCCACATCCTCCCTTCATCTGTCTCTTTCTCTCTCTTTTTCCATCTCTCTTTCTTCTCCCCTGAATTCCTTTTTTCTCTCCCCATCTCTGGGTCTGTCTGTATTTTTCTCTCAATCTCTGTCTTTTCTTCACTCTTGGTCTCTCTCTGTCATTTTCACTTTTTTGTTTCTCTTCATTTTCTCTCTCCCCCTTCATTCCCTTTTTCCCCCTATTTTTTAAAATTATGGTAAAACAACATAACGTTTACCATCTTAACCATTTTACGTATATAGTTCAGTGGTATTAAGCACATTCATATTGTTGTGCAAACATCACCACCATCCATCTTCAGAACTCTTTTCTTCTTGCAAAACTGAGCTCTGTACCCATTAAACAATAATTCCCATTCCCCACCCACTCCTTATCCCTATCCACCGCCATTCTACTCTCTGTCTCTATGAACTTGACTACTATAGGTATCTCATAGGAGTGGAATCATGTAGTATTTGTCTTTTTCGTGACTGGTTTATTTCACTTAGTGTAATGTCCTCAAGATTCATCCATATTGTAGCATGTATCAGAATTGTCTTCCTTTTTAAGGCTGAATGATATTCCACTGTATGTATAGAGCACATTTCACTTATGCATTCATCTGGCAATGGACTTGTGGATTGCTTCCAGGTTTTAGCTATTATGAATAATGCTGCTATGAACATGGGTGTACAAATAATCTCTTCGTGAGCCTGCTTTCAATTCGTTGGGTACATATCCATAAGTAGAATTGATGGATTATATGGTAATTCTATTTGTAATTTTTTTAAGGAGCTGCTATACTGTTTTCCACAATGACTGTACCATTTTACATTGTCACCAACAGGGCACAAGTGTTCCAGTTTCTCAACATACTTGACAACACTTGTTATTTTCTGGTTTTTTTTTTTTTCTTTCTTTGTTAGTAGCCATGCTAATAGGTGTGAGGTGGAATCTTATTGTGGTTTTGATTTCCATTTCCTAATAATTAGTAATGTTGAGTATCTTTGCACATGCTGATTGTCCATTTGTATGTTTTCTTTAGAAAAATGTCTTTTCAAGTCCTTTACCCATTTTTGAATCTGGTTGTTATTTGAGTTTTAGGAGTTCTCTATATAATATTCTGGGTATTAATCCCTTATCAGATATATGATTTGCAAATATTTTCTCCCATTCTATGGGTCGACTTTTTATTCTCTTGATAGTGTCTTTTGATGCACAAAACTTTTACAGAGTCCAATTTGTTTATTTTTTTCTTTGTAGCCTTTGGCATCATATCCAAGAAATCATGGCCACACCCAATGCCATGAAGTTTTTGCCCTGTGTTTTCTTCTAAGAGTTTCACAGTTTTAGGTCTTTCATTTAGGTTACAGGTCCCTTTTGAGTTAAATTTTGCGTATGGTGTTAGGTAAAGGTCTAACTTCATTGTGTGTGGGGAGGCGGCTATCCAATTTTCCCCGCACTATTTGTTGGAAAGATTGTCTTTAATCCATTGAATGGTCTTAGTGCCCTGTCAAAAATCATTTAACATATATTCAAGGGTTTATTTCTGGAATCTGTTCTATTTCATTGGTCTATATGTCTGTCTTTGTGCCAGTACCATACCACTTGGATTACTGTAGCTTTGTAATAAGTTTTGAAATTAGGAAGTGTGAGTCTTCCAGCTTTGTTCTTTTTCAGGGTTGTTTTGGCTATTTGGGGTCCCTTGAGATTCCCTGTGAATTTTAGTGTAGGTTTTTCTATCCTGAAAAATCATTATTGGGATTTTGATAGGGAGTATATTAAATCTGTAGATTATTTTGGGTAGCATTAACATCTTAACAATATTAAGTATTTCGAGTCATAAACATGGGATGTCTTTCTACTTATTATATCTTTAATTTCTTTCAGAAATGTTCTGTGGTTTTCATTGTACAAGTTTTTCACCTCCTTGGATAAATTAATTCCTCATATTTTATTCTTTCGATGCTATTATAAATGGAATTGTTTTCTTGATTTCCTTTTCTGATTGTTCATTGCTAGTGTATAGAAATGCAACTGATTTTTGTGAGTTGTTAACTTTGCTGAATTTATTAGTTCTAACAGGTTTTTGTGTGGAATCTTTAGAGTTTTCTACATGTAAAATTATATGATCTGAGAGGAGAGATAATTTTACTTCTAGGAAGTAAATTTGAATGTCTTTTTTCTTTTCTTGTCCAATTGCTCTGGCTAGAATTTCCAGTACTCTTTTGAATAGAAATGGCAAAAGTGGGCATCTTTGCCTTGTGTCTCATCTTAGAGCAAAAGCTTTCAGTCTCACCATTGAGAATGACATTTACTGTGGGTTTTTCATATAAGGCTTTCATTATGTTTCTTCTGTTCCTGGTTTGTTGAGTGTTTTTATCATGAAAGGATGTTGAATTTTGTCAAATTTTTTGTGTGTCAGTTGAGATGATCATGTGAACTTTTTCCTTCATTGTGCTAATGTGTTATATTACATTGATCAATTTTTGTCTGTTGAACCGTCCTTGCATCCCAAGAATAAATCCCACTTTGTCATGTGTGTATAATCCTTTTAATATGCTACTAGATTTGGTTTGCTAGTATGTTTTTTTTTTTTTTTGAGGATTTTGCATCATTGTTCATAAGGGATATTGGTCTGTAATTTTTTTTTCTTACAGTGTCTTTGTCTGGCTTTGGTATCATTCTCTTTTTATTATCTTTTACTGTTTCCAGGAGATGAGCTTATCTGTCTTCGTCTTCTCTACCATCTTTATGTTCTTGCCATTTCTTTCTCACTCTCCCCTGACCCCTGTATATCAAGTATCTTCCTTTGCCCTGCCCCCAAATCCTGTTTACTTGCTTTTCTTTGGGGAAGAACCTGCTTTGTGGGGAGGACACCATGCAGCAGTGTCTTTCCCAGGAATAAGGATATTTCTCTCTGTACTGCTTTGAGAGTCTTTTCTTACCCTGAACTTTCTAGTCTGCTCGGGTTCTATAAACACAGAGAAAAGGCAACTTTCAATTTCAAGTGTATTCAATTGAATTTGACTGATAATTGGCAGGTGCCTGAGCTGGGCCAGGCACTGGGCACTGGGCACATAGGGATGCAGAAATCCTGGGCAGCCAGGCAGAAGGTCAGGTGATTTAAGTACCAGAGCCAAGACAGAGCAAGACCAGTGGGCTTGAGCGTCTGAGTGCAGGGAGTCAGAATGAGTGGCCGAGAGCAGGTGGCCTTTTGCACGGGTCTTGGCAGAGCAGCAGGAGCCCATCAGTGGTTCCCAGGGGGAGGGAGATGACAGTACTGCTGCCCCAGCTCAGGGAGGTGGGTTAGCTTGCTCCAGGCATACAGATCAGAAAGGTCACAGTGGTGAGCTATTAGGACAAAGGACTCGATGGTGGCCCATACCTACACCTCTGATGAGAACCTGCCAAGAGCATCAGGTAGCCACAGCCCCACGGTGCCAAGAGGACAAAGAAAGTGGTGCCAACCTGGTTCAGTGGGTCCCCAATGCTGATCTGTACCAGAATCACCTGGGGTATGGGTTTAAAATACATATTCTCAAGTCCCCACCCCCAGAGACTCTATTTCTAGAGGGCTGGAGTGAAGCCCAAGAGGCTGCATTTTATTTTAGTGAACCCCTGATAATTCCGCTGCAGGGCATCCCAGAGCCATGCCTGGGGACCACTGGCCCAAAGGGCACATTCTGCCAGGGAGCCCCAAGTCTCCGTCCTGCCCCTCTCCTGGTCAGCCTTTTGGGTAGGGACTTGGAGGAGGAGCTGGAAGATGTTTCTGCACATGGGCAAAGATTGAAATAGAACAGGGAGAAGCAAAAAGAGCTGACACATGGGAGATCCAGGTTTGAGTCTGGACTCTGCTGTGTCCAAACTGTGTGATCTTGGACAAGTGACCGAAGCTGTCTGAGTCCTTGTTTCCCCTTGAGGGCCAACAGTGCCAACCTGAGAGGACTGTTATGAGGATTAAATAAAATGATATGTGTAAAGGGCTTATGTCAGGCTTAGCTCTAAGCAGGTGCTGGGTAAGTGGTGCTGCTGCCATTAATGTTATTTTTATTATCGTCACCAAGGAGGACTTTAACTAAATGCCTGCTGGTTCAACAGAGCGGGAGGCTGAGGGTGGTCTCCTGGGATGGCTCTCTTGGGACTTTGGTTCCGTCTCACAGTCCTGCAGCTGCTGTATTCATGGGCTGTGTGATGGGCAGAGCCGGGCATCACCTTGCTGGGGTGGACAGCAGGGTTGCGGGTGAGAGGGCAGAGGGCAGAGGTGGCCAGACCTAGCCCAGCCACACTTGCCTGGCCCTCACCGTGGCCCTCTCTCTGCAGTGGGGCCGACTTGCTTGCTGTCAACTCTGATGGGAACATGCCATATGACCTCTGCGAGGATGAGCCCACCCTGGATGTCATCGAGACCTGCATGGCATACCAAGGTGAGGGAGGGTGGCATATCGTGAAGTGGTCACAGCACGGTGTTGCAGGTGAACAAATGAGCCAGCTATGTACCGGCTGCCTCAGGCTCGGGGCTCAGTAAACGGGATAGGTCCCCGTTATCTGTGCAATTATCACGATGAGGACGCTAAAGGACCCTGGAAAACGTGCTGTGCAGAAGGGAGGTATTGTTTTCCATGTGTCACCCACACACGTAGGCGGCCTCAGCTGGCCTCGTCACCTGTTCGTCAGCTGTGACGATTCGATTCCATAAACATTCACCATAAAGATATATTCCCATGAGGGAAAATAATAAAGTCAAGAACATTGGCGGGCGCCTGCTCTGTGCCAGGCACCACGCTGGCTGCCGCGGGCCCAGATAAACAAGACGTGGGCTGTTCTCAGCTCACAGATGAGGTTCCAAGAGGAAACAAATGTAGCAATGAGAGACCTCCCTGCATCCGGCACCCCACAAACATGCCTCTGAAGTGCCTCCCTGGAAATATGCCTCACACCAGAGCCTCAGCTGCAGCCTGAGTCCTGCCCTG